ATGATTACTTTTCAGTATCATTTTATTATCAGAAGGAGTGAGAAAGAGAGAGAGAGAGAAAAGTGCAAGAATATCAAGAATATTATAAGTTAAATGTGAATAAAAAGTGTGTGTATAAACTAAGAAAAGAGCAAAAGAAGGAAAAGTACAATAGAACAATGAAGAATCATGAAAAAAGACCTTTTCTTTCCTCTGGGAGTTTATTCTATCTCATTTTATTATCACATTTTTCGCCTTTCCTAACCAATCCAATGATATCATCACTTGCATGCAAAACTTTGAGAAATAAAAATCTGACAAAGAGAAAAGTAAAATCGCAAATTCAGTATTTACAGAGTTTATCAACTTTTAATGAGATAAAACTTCTGATTATTCATTTTTGACGAATCTCTTGAAATTGAAATCTTTTTTCTTTTCTTGATGTAAGACTGGTAAATAAGAAATGAAAACAGCAAAAGGTTATTAATAAACGGAAAATGTTGAATTGAACTTGAAATTCCTTTTGGAAAAACAAGAAAATTTGAAACAACTTTTTCCTCTCAATATTTACTCATAATTTGGACTTCTTGCCATTAAAAGGTTCGTGAACATTTTAAGAAAATTGAGATTAAGCCCACTAACATTCGAGATTTGGAAAATTGGACAAAGTCTTTCAATGACACAAATAATACGATTTTTTCCAATTTTTCGAGCTTATGTCGTAGATAAAGGATAATATTGAGAGACATGTTTTTGCTTTTGTTTCGCTAGTGAGTGGATAATGATATTTAAGCATTTTTAAGTAATGATATTGCATTGTAACCTACAGTCACTGGTAGTGAATAGCTATTTTCACTGAGATGTGTTTTCATTTTTCAGCTAAAATTTGTTTTTTGTATGTTCTGAATTTCAATTCCTATTGAGATCGATTTTCAAAATCGCCGGCTTTGCGACTTCACAGACTTTGAGGTATTGTCAAAAAACACCTTTTCTTGACATTTTCAACAAAAAAGCATCAATAGATCTACAAAATTGTCTTCTGGCTTAAAACATCGATCTTTGCATGGTTGAGATCGACCGATTGAGTGAATAATCAATCAGATTGATCATGAAATCGGATCGATCATACTTCGCAAATGCTATTTTCTGATAAAAAAACTCCAACCATGACCTTCAAATGAACTCTTAAGGTCAAATGTAAAATTCCCACAAAATGACCTCCAATGACCTCGAAAATTCGATACATCTAACAAGGGAAACACCCGAACCGCTCCGATCGAAAATGAATGATTTAGTAATATTTCGATTGACTATTATGAGTCTTTAATTTTAGCAAAACATTGGGGGTAGCAAATTAGAGGGAGAGAAAATAACAGCGAATGAAGTTGAGGATTTTGCCTATTAGCTATGGTAATGAGGAGACAAAACGAAATGATTAAAGCAAAAGGGCTCGTCACAATGTGCACAAATTATGAAACAATGTCTACCACATTGCTCAATGACAGAAGGGTCATCAAAATTTGCGAAATTGACTTCCAATACGCTTTTAAACTCGCTTATTTCCTGAGTGACTTTGTATCCGGATTTTTGCCAAGCATAGATAAGCATCGGTTTGTAAGCAGGTGCAGATAACTGATTATGGGCCAATGCATTCATTTTGATGATGAATCCACGATCACGTAATTTTTCCTCGGCTTGTTCAATAGCAAGAGAACTTCGAGTATAATCAGTAATTCTTCGCATTAAAACCTTGTACTGGCGGAAGAAATAAACGTCGAGTGGTTGAATGTATTTTGTTGTTTTAGGAGGAATCTTCTTGATGATCAAATCTTTATCTCCAATATTTTCAGTGAAAATTGTATGATCAGATTGACCGGTGAAGGAGTCTTGTAATAATAGATTATTTTCTTCAAGGTCATGAAATAACACATTTTTAGCAAAACTTATGAGATTTTTCCGCTCCATTTTTGCCACTCTTGCTTGCGTCAACATGAACAGCTGGAAACTGCGCCATTGCCTCTTCAACTTTCCTACGAACTTGCGGGCCAAATTGTCCTTGTGGTTCCTGTAGACAAATATAGATTCGATGACCTAATATTCCCGCTTTACTTATACACAGCTGAACAGTATACGAATGAGTTGTTGATGACAGGTTTTGCACTCGAGCCAATGTTTCCTTTTCTCCTCTTATGGATAAAGTGCGATTACCGGTCAATTCATATTCAATCTTCGTTTGGTCAGTATTGAAGACATATTCATCTGGTATACTTTCATCATCAGTAAATTGGTTGATCTCATTGACAAAAGCTTTTGCCGTTTCCAATATTTCAGCTTCACCAGCTATTTCCCTTCTTGTAACAAATTTGGTCACTTTCCGGCTAACAATGTTGTTAGCTTTTTTAAACTTATGCAAAAAATTTGCTGAAGCTTTAAAGTCCTGTAATCCAACTTCACTTGCTTTGACTCTAGCCCATTCTTGTAAATTCCAGTAATGAATAATATTGCCATTACGGCGGCTTTCCGCGAACATTAACTGGCAGTGATCTCTAATTTTTTCCAATTTCGCTTGTTTAGATCCTCCTTTTCTTTGCGATTCAACTATATCTTGTATAAAACTTTATGATTTTCTGTACCGCTTAGCCGCTTGCCCCCAACTATGTTGTTGTGTGTAATCAACTATTTTTTGTATAGTTGATGCACTTACTCTCGTATCCGCAGCTGATGATGTAGAAGGTGCTTCATATTGTTCCTCACTGGATGGCTCATCACTTGCAGTTTCTTGGGAAGACGATGATGAAACAACTTCCATTGGCTCAGGCTGAGAAGATGATATCGAGGTAGGCTGATCGTATGAGCAATCATCATCACTATCAGCATCATCATTGTAGTCCAAACACAGCTCTTCTTCCACAATAAGCCTTTGTTGAGATTTAGCTATAATTTCGAAGTATATTGCATTAGCAAATAACTTTTCCTCGATTGTAGGTTGAGTTGGTTGTAGATTTGGGTACTCTTGATTCAATTTAGTTTTGCACAGAATTAAAACATTTGCTGGATTGAAATCCATTTTGATACAATGAAAAATTTTAACTTTGTTGCTTATTGATGGTATTGAAACGAAATGGTCAATTAACCCAGTTCCGCTGATTTGCTACCCTTAAGAGAGTGACCTCTGTTGTTAATCTTTGAACTCTTCAAAATGACACACTTATCATTGAAATCTGTTCGGAGCGGTTCGGGTGTTTCCCTTGTAAGTTTTGTCCTTAAAATCATCTATAGCAAGTTCGTCATACTTATTGCACTCTACCGTTAATATGAAAACTTGTTTACAAGAGATCAGAAAGTGAATCTCCAAAATGCTGAGTAAAAACCTTCGCTTCGCTTTGCTACGCTCCGATAATTAAAAATGCCTAAGTATCATCATAACACCATACACCAACATAACAAAAACAAAAATGTCTAATTATTCGCCTTCTGCAATATAAGTCAGAATAATCGCAAAATCGCAGTACAAGCAAGGACACTTTCCTTGGCAGATATTATCTTTTTCTTGTGTTTCATTAATTGATTAACATTGACATTATCTTGTGTATTAATGAAAAAATTTGGTGTAACTACCTTTTAATCTTGTTTCCAGGAGTAAACCAAGAATAGAAGGTAAAAGAAGCAACAAAAAATTGCGAAAGAACAAACTTTTTTTTCTTGTTCATTCTAAGGAAATCTGAGTTATCTAACAATGTCAATCTTATTATATGGATCAATGAATGAACAAATTTTTCTCTTCTTCGTTTAACTCTCTTTCTTTCCCTTTCCATTGATTCTCAATAGAAAAATCATTCCGTTAATCAGAATACTTTTTCTCTTCTTGATGAACTATTCTTGTGTTACTTATATATTAATGGTATCACTGTTTATATCCAAAGTACAAGATATCTTGTTAACTAACATGTATTATCTTGTTAGACCATCCAAGTGTTCAGATGAATGAACAAGTTGAAATTAATCAGTCAACTTGAACAGGGAAGAAGAAAAAAACGCAACGAAAATTGAAATAAAGAATTGCAACGTTAAACATTTTCCTTGGCCTTTTCTGGTTCCAATCACCTTCTGAACACTTGATGAGTAATATGAATTGGAGTGACAAAAAATTAGCAAAATTCTGAAAATGAACTTTTCAAAATTCTATTCCAATTTTGCTCCTCTTGACCCACTCGAGTTATCATGATTTCTGAACGTTACATTTCGATTTTGCCTTTCAATGGAATAATTTTATTCCCTGAGAATAATGATAAAAGGATAATGTTTATAAAGAGATAATATTCTAAAGAAAATGTTGAATAGCAAATGCCTTGGAGGAAATATGGTGAATAGTTGAAAGTGGAAAACAATGAGAATCGAGTTTTCAAAGTTCAACTGTTAATTATTCTGATAAACTCTGGGAGTGAGAAAAGCTTATTGCTTGTAAAGAAAAGTCAAGCACTAAATGTTGTGCCCATGTATTCAGATAAAAAGGTAATGAGGTAAAGATGAGAGTAGATGAATATTAAAGGTATATTGACTTGTTTCTTTACTGATATCATCAGATTGTAATGTTAATTAAGGCTAATTAAAGTAGTGAAGGTTGAAAAAGATAACAATGAGCAGCAACAACAGTAGAGTGCTGTAAAAGATGAGCTCAGTAATTGATGCTAAAAGTAAGCAGAAAGAGAAGCAAAAAATTGATGACAAAAAAATCGAGGATAAAGACTGATGGTTCTGTGAATACTTTTTTCTGGTATATCTTTTATTCACATCATTTTTTGCTTCGCCATTGTTTCCATCATTTATCAACAGGATATCTTAACATTGTGATAACATAATAATGTTAATCATTACTGGGAGTGAAAATTGATTCAATGCTACCAAGCTGAATGTGTTGTGCAAGTTTGAAAATTTTTTCCAATTTTTTTGTTCGTTTTATTAAGCCAATGTTTTTGTTTCAAGTTTCAACCAAATTTGATATTAAATGAGAATGAACTTACCGGTCGTCGAGATTGGAAAAGTTGAAAAGATTCACGATATTCTGATGATAATGAAAGTATTGGGACGTCAACTTTTTTGGCAATCATTTTGAGATAATAAGTTCGTCTGGGTTCTAATAGAGTTAATATAAGGGAAGGATTGTGTATCTCAAAGGATTGACACATTGATTCCAATAGCCTTTGAGTATCATTCCCAGCAGGTATTGGTGATAATATGAGTGAAGTATCATCAGGTGAAAGGTTTGTATCACGAGGTGAACCCGAGGTTCCCATGCCACTCACTGAGAATCCAAGGGAACCCGGAAAATGGGCTGCTCGAGAGGTTGATGAGGTTGAAAGGGAACCCTGAGCGGATAGTTCACGTTGTAAAGTGTGCCAACGTGTTACTGCAGTCCTCAACTCTCGTGACAGCAAGACTGCCTTTTCATTGGGAACTACGGCAAGAATACGAAACTTGGGCAAACTGACTGAACTAGTCTGAGCCGAGGCATAAGGTGACCCCAGTGAGGCTGATGAAGCTGAACCTGGACGTTGCATTGACTCGGGTTGACTTAGAGGTGAACTTGAGACTTGAGCCAAGGTGAACCAAAAGGATGTTGATTGGTTCAAAATGATGTTAATAATTATCAATATGGAAACATAATTTAATAAAATTCTATTTGAAATCATCTTGATGCTCATATTTTCACCCTTTTTTATCACTAATCAAATTATTCAGTTTCAATGAATATCAAATTTCAGTTTAACCCGTTTCTCTCACCTCCCAACACTGTTCAATCTCAATGCTTTGACTCACTTAAAAGGTAACCTTTTTACCAATGGATAAAGGTTATTGTTTGAGATTGGCAAAGATTATTGCTAAGCTTATGAAATTAACATTCAAATCTTTTCACCCAAAATAGTAACCCTAACTTTTATTCACTGGGAGGTAAAATGAAACTCCCAGTTGGATGTTGAACCAGCAAAATGGTTGCAATGTTTTTCCTTTTGCAAATGTTCCAAACAATTTGTTGCAAGTTCATTGAGAAAAGGATTTCACTTGGTGTGTATGTCAACCCTATGCCCGGTGTAACCAAAGTGTTAGAGAATGTCGATAAATGTTTTTATCTGAAAAAGAAAAGTTGATCAACCATAAAACACATTTTCCAATTGATTATTGCTTTTCCCCAATTTTATCCTCATGGAGTTCACATTCATCATTACCAATCATATGCTTCTCATCACAACAGACTATTTGGTAACAAAGATCAGAACGATGAGTATGATGATGGGCAACACTAATGGCGATGAGCTGGTAAAAATGGCAGCTATAAAGATGTTACTTGTAATGACTAGAGTTGATAAAAAAAGCTCAAAGAGAGCAATTTGCACATTAAATATTTACCAAAAAGCACTTCACTTTACAGTTGCTTTGATTAAATCTAGTTTAGGTAATCATCATCTTCAGACATTATCAGGTAATCCATTTTGTTTATTCACAAGGTTATTCATTTTCCAATGGAATGATGAAAAGAAGGGAAAAACTTGAAAATGATTTTATTCCAGTCAATTTGAACACAAAAAAAATTCACTTTCGATTTGTTAAAAGATTTTTGCCGAAACGGGAAAAGATGAAAATGACAGCAAATTCACTTTAGTTGGGCACAAGAATGTGAAACAATGAGAAATTGGAAAAACTTTGAAAGGTTAACTTCGTTAATTGGCATAGATAAGAGATTGTTATTACTATTGTTTGAGTTTTGAAAAGGTAACAAGAACAGGTAACTGGGAAGGAATGTCGATTTTTTCGTTTCTTTTCACAATTTTAAAGTTGATGTTTCACTGCAACTTGAGCGATTGGAAGATACAAAAAAAAAGCGAATTTTGATGTCGAAGTTCAGACGAAATTTAGTTACATGTGTTTATTGGGAAATGTTGATGATGATGAATCTTCTGCTCTCGCCATCATCATCACTTCTTCCACTTTTGCCTTTTTATCGTCAAATAATAAGGGAAAAGAAATAAAAGGCAAAATCTAGCCTTCTCTTGTATCCTCATCACTTTTACATCTTTCCTTTCCTCATTCATTCTACTCATTCATTTCACTCATTCATTCATTCTTATACACTTTCACAACAGAGACTCTTGTTATTCTTCACTTCATCATCATCTTTATCATCTTCATCTTTCTCTCTCTCTCTTCCTTCACTGCTCAATGTAAGCCTCTTTTGTTGTTCGATGTTTCTTCTTCTCTTTCTTTCTTTCTTCTTCTTCTTATCGCTCACACTTGCTCAGCATTTCTTGTTCATCTTCACTAACAGCTCTTATTTTCATCATGAGTAAGCTCGATCCCAGTGAGACCAACCCTGACCTCACTGAACTTTGAGCTTCCTCAGCGCATCATCAATAATCTGATTCTGAACAAGTTCAACATGTTCTGTCAATGGTACAAACAGCGTTCTCTAGCAGCAATCAAATCAAACAGAAGCAAGGTAAACTCATGGGCGCAGTTGAATCAATAAATGAATCATGAAGGTTAAACTTAACCCAATTCAATGTCATTTTATTTTCACTTCAAGAAACAAGAAAAAGATTTAAAAGATTTTATTTGTAATTCATGAATTGACAAAACATTATTGGCAAATTATTAATAGCGCATTAACCAGAAAGCGTGTTTATATTTTTAGATGCGATTCGTAAGGTCGTCAAGCATTCCAACTAGATGGTCACCAAAGGTTGACAATATATTTGCTGAATGGCTGGCTACTTTTGAGGCAATTTGAGAAACAGTTTGTTGCAGCTTTGCATATTGACCAGATTGATGGATTGAATATCCAGATGATTTTGCCGATTTATCGTTCGAATCGCCCGACTTATCCTCGCCATCATCATCGTCCTTATCATCACTTACAGTGCTGGTTTCACTTGATTCCGATTTAGCTGATGATGATGATGATGAGCTGCTTGATGAACCTGCTTTTGATGCAGCCGAGGCCGAGGCTGCTGCATCACTTGAAGAGCCTGATGAGGCATCCTTTGCATGTGAATGAGTACCGACCGACACTTTGACACTTGAACCGTGATCATCGGCACCATAAGTTGATGTTACAAGAAGAAGGGCAATCAGATTCAAAAGACAATATTTCATGGTTGATTGAAATTATGAGAATTGTAAAAGTAACAATGAAACAAGAATGATTTCAAACTAATTTAATGAGAAACAGAAGTTGGTTGAATTGGTGAAAACACACGTTGCTCTTGATTTTTATATTAACTTATTTTCAGGTTTTCTCTATTTTTTTGTTTTTCTCAGCCAGTCTGTATTATTCATCGAATCAATCAGATTGTTCAAATATATCGCATCATGTGTAGTTATCCTTCAGTTAAAATGGCACTTAATTTCAACACATTTGCTCTTGTTTTTTTGCGTTTTAACTGTTGGATGATTAACTTTAAATTGGATTGTTTGTCCAGCCTTTTGATTTGAATATTCAACTATTTGACATTTGATGATGCAGATAATTAAATAAAAGGTTTCAAGTTTCTTCTGGAATTTAGTTGAATCCATCTTTAAATCGAGTTATATCGCATGTTTAACGTTGATTTCAAGATTTTGTTTTCTCATTTATTCAAGTTTGTTATTTTTTCACATTCAAATTGTCATCATGGAAGTTGGCAAATTTGGCAATTTGTTACTTTACACGAGTGTTACGATCATTTTTGGGGCTATTGTGGTTCAATCAGATATTGAACCTCATTTAGCTCATCATCAGCATCATGATAAAGGTAAGATAACAGTTCCTTTGACAACTACAGCTGAACCTCCATTGGACTTTCATTCTGGACATGGGTCGGGAGCAGCTTCGAGTTCGGCTTCGAGCTCAGCTTCAAGCTCAGCTTCAGCAAGTTCTGAACAAACTGAAAAGGCCAAAATTCACGATTTACAAACACTAATGAGATTGGCAAATGAAGAACATACAAATCAGCTGAAACACTCATCACATTCCAAGGAAAATGAATTTGTTTCCGTTCCAGCAAATACTTTGGCACAAATTGAACAATTGATTTCAATTATCATCAACTTTGCTAAAAGTATACAGAAATCAATCGCTGATATTCACAAAGACAAACAAGTAGAGAAAAATTGATCAATGATCAGTTCAGTATAAAAATGGAACTGAATATAAGTTTGCTAGGTGTAAAAAGCTCGATGTTGTATCGAATGACCACGTACTGAACCCAATAAAATGTCTTGAAAATCAACACTCAACCAGTTTCTTTACAATATTTACAATCTTTCCTTATGATTATTCGTCGTGTTTTTCGCAATTAAAGGTACTTCTAGCTCAGATGTAAATTCAGCCTTGATGTAAAACGATGATGATGATTTTCAAATAATCTCCGATATTAATGTGTATTTCGAGAAGAAAAGATCAACTCAAGAAAACATCAATAGGAAAGCAAAACCAAAAATAAGTCGATTCTAGACGAATTGCGGTGAATTGAAGTATAGTCATGAACTGCAACCTGTGTAAACTTTTAAACCCAATAATGAACGAGTTGTTTTCTCATAGCTATTTTTTCCGTACCATTTGCCTCGACAGACAAAGTAGAGTAACATGAATTATTAAATCACAAATATGGAGAAGACTGCGATCTTCAAGTCTCTAGTCTCAGACTTTCTCGAGACTCTCCACATCAATGTGGAATCTCTAATATCAAAGTCGACCAAGAGAGTTATTTCTCAAATTATCACAATAAATATCTTTGAGTGTTATTTAACATGATTATCGAAGCTCCTTTAGCTTATTAACTTATCGAGTATTCTATTCTTATTTTTGTTTTCTGCTTTAATTTCTAATTTTATTTCAATATTTTGTCTAATAATGTATGTTCTAATGAATGTCTGTCTCTTTCAAGATCTAAGGGCCAGCCATATTGTAAATCGTCTAAAATTTATCTGATTTGACGTGGCGGAGATCAAAGTAATTTATTGAAACCATTTTGATGGTGTCATGACTCAAATTAAATAAACATCAGACATTAAATAACTTTAGTTTTTGGAATGATTTTAAAATTGGATTTAAGAGAAAATCTTTATTCGTCTTTTCGTTTTGACGTGTTAAACATCATTTTTAAGGCATACTTGAAGCACATCTAAAATGTGATACATAACAATTTCTTCGACAATTATTCGAATATTTCTCTATGTTCATGCTCTTGGCGTATTAATGCCAGATTTGGATACAGCAACTGCTAAATCAAGTGCCGTTTGACTCATTAAATTGAGCAAACTTGAAGCAATGGACTTCATCTTTGAATTGGCTTTTGATAAAATACCATCAACCTCTTTAGTCAAAGCAGGTGACTTTAAAGTCCCTAAATCAACTGATAGAGTCTCATTTGTTGAATCATTAGTTGAGGAACTTGCAGAAGATGAATTTGACTCTGATCCAGAACTGGAACCAGCAGAACTTGATGATTTCGCCTTTGATTTACTCCAGTATGAACCAGCAAAAAGGTTAGACCACGAGTCAGCAGTAGTAGCTTCTGTTGGCTTTTCAGTTGCATTGGTAAACGTAAGTGAGGCCAATGTTGTGGATGAAGAAGATGTTGGGGATTCTGATGACGTGGAGTCTGAAGTGGTTGTTGATTTCGATCCTTTTGAGCCTGAAGCGTCATCACTCTTGTCTTTATCGTCGTCTTTTGGTGAACTAGATGATTTTGAGCTCTCTGTAGTTACCGATGCAGAAGCAATTGACTCATAAAAATCATCTACCGAATCAGAATCTTCGTCCGTTTTGGATTTAGATGAGGAATCTGAAGTGGAATTAGTTTTGCTGGAAGAATCAGATTTGGGAGGTAAAGTTGATTTGGATTTTTCTTTTGAATCAGGGCTAGAATCAGAATCTGAATCAGAGGTTGAACTAGAGTCTGCACCAGAGGCAGAGCTAGCATCTGCATCAGATTCAGATGATGTTGAATTGGAGGTTGAAAGGGGGCTCTTGAGTGATTTACTCGGTACTTTCTTCCCGATGCCTGAAAGCGAGTCCACATCTGTACTGTCTAATGGACTGCCACTTGCTTTCGATTTTTTACCTAATAAACCAGATTTCGATTTAAGACTTGAAGATGCATCTGCACTTGCATCCGATGCTGCACTAGAATCGCTGGCTGAAGTCGAATCATCATCGGAACTCAATGGTGACGAAGGTTGACTCACTCCTTTGGCCATTGAAGATGCTTTTGCAGCGGAACCAGCTTTTGAACCAGGATTGGGTAAGCCATTTCTCAGTCCAGATAAGGCACCAGGTGAGCCGAGTCTATTTTGGTTTGCCAGTAAAGCTGAACGAAGTTCAACTAGATGGATAACATTTATGAAAACAAATAAAATCCAGATTAGTTTCATGACGAGACACTTAATTTACCTGCAAAATGGAAGGATAACTTTTCTTTAAACAATCAACTTGACAATAAAATTTAAATCTACTTTTCTTTTCTTGTTAACTTTTACTCATCGATTGATCTTTAATCAAGTGAAAGCTGTTATTACAATGGATAGGTTAAAGCGTCAGTTATTGTTGACTTTTGTTGCTCATTTGTTTGTCTTTGAATCAGGAAACATCATCAGGCAGTCAACCTATGGTAATGTTCAAGATACAAGTATAATTGAATAATTTTACCTAATTTGGTTGATTGAACGACTAATCATAAATTATTTTCAGCTCTTTCTAAACTCGTCACTCCTGTCTATTGTATAAATCATCTGATAAATTAAGACTAAAAGGTGAAATGTGCGTGTAGCAATACACAGCTTTGTTAAAGTCGCATTTTTATATTTATCGAAAGAGTGATGAATAAAAAATGCTTGGATATTGATATATGAATTGAAGTTTGTTGATTTATTGATTGGCTTGAGATTCTACAAAGACTAGCAAATATACATTGCAATGGAAACAAATTTGAATGAGCTAAATATAATAACAATATTAATCAAGATTATCATCGATTAAAGGGTTAACATTTAACGATGATAAATACTGGAAGCAGCATAACAGTTGGTTCAGTTGAAGTTGGAAGCCAAAAAATACATTCAATTTTATCACAATCTAAAGTTCCATTATTTACTTTTTTTATGACACATTTTCACCCAATTGATGCATTTCAATTGTAAACCATCAACAGGAAGACCAATGGCAAGACTAATGGTATGACTAGAAAAGGTGTGACTGGTAATATATTGTACTGTCTGTCTATCTTATAAATTAGGCATTTCTCAGTTTTTCTTCAGTGTTGAGACATTGAAGAAAAACTAAACTGTCACACTAAATCAAATAATTATCTCCTAAATTGGTCATGGACAGGACTTTAAGGTAATGTTGGCTTTTTTGGCTTTCTTTGGGTTGAAGTTACGTTAGGCTGATAAAACTATCCATCTTTCTTTCCGTCCATATATGTGAGAGTCTTCTGGGTGTTTGTTTGTCTTGAGCTTTCACAGGAAATTATTAAAATCAGGAAATTTTCACTTTCCCTTGAAGTCATGTAGATTCATCTTTAAATAAAAAATTAACATGGCGTATTCCGGTAACATAGTTTTGCGGCTTGTTTGATAGCATGGGATTGCAGTAGATTCAGCTATGATGAGGGCAATGGCGTTGACGGTGTTGAATTATCAATTCAAAATACATTTTTGAATAAACAAAATATGAATGATTAGATAGAAGACGATGGATGCAAGGCTGATTGGTCCAAGCATTGAACCAGAATCACTTTGATATATTGTACGACCTTTGAGTGGCTGCACATCACGGACAACCGTTTTCATCTCATCACCATGTTCATCAACCAGAGAACGAAGCCTATCAATCTAAAGTGAAAAGAAGGAATAAAAAAGATTCAATTACTAATTGGACTTCAAGAAGAGATTCATATCGTTTTGTCAAGATAGAGAAAGGTTTGACAAATCAATGAATCTTAAAATTTATTTACCGTTTAAAATTTAGAGACTTACCTGATCATTAGAAACTGTAATAAAATCTTTCATAACAATCCAATTTACAGCCTCTTGGCAATTGGGAGTCGTTAGAGAACCAAAATATTTGAAAAAGGATTTAGTGTTACCAGGAAGAAAATATCGTAAGCTAAACTGGTTTTTCGTATCATATTTGATGTTAGAGCTATTGCTTTGCATGGCTTCCAATAAGATGTCTAATCCAGGATTAGGATCACCATTCTGAATAAAATCAAGAAACACCGAGAAAAAAAGAGCGAGTGTAAAAAAAGTCTCATCAAAAGCTAAGTCAATCCAATTTTCAAGTTTCCCTTTAAACCATTCATTCTGGTCAACATAATAAATGACTTGTCAAAGCAGCTAATTAACAATCATAAACACTTATAAAAATATAAATAATAAACACTAATTTCATCTTTCAATCATTTATAAAGTACGCTTTATAAATCACATGTTAAGCATATGAGACAATCTGAAAAGTACTCCACAAGATGGCATCACTACTCATCCAAATGAAATCATTCAACAGTTCAATTGAACGAAGCATTTTTCATGGCAAAACTTACCTTTGCAATAACACCGATAACAGTCAATGCATCTTCATGTTCCAAAGCTTTTTCACCGAAACCCTTATACGCGGCATTGAGATGAACAAAATGAACCTACAACATATAAAAAGATAATCAAAATCACTTTTCACTTAAACAATCAATTCTGAAATGAACTGAAATCATTCACAATTTTTCAATAAATTCAGTTGTTTCTCATGTGACCCGATAGCATTTCACTTCTAATTGCAGTCACAAGTGTTAAGCAAAATTTAAATTCGTGAAAACTCAATGTTTGCTTGAGCTCGATCAAATTGGTGCAATAAGACGAGTTTTATTTGCAAGTTTTACAATTTTCTCACACATCAATGGGTCGAAGAATCTGGAATTTGACTTTTTTGTCGGAAAACTCGAATCAGCAAACTTCGCAATTAATGCAGATTAAAGTTGTTTTTAGATTAAACATGGTTTGTTTCATTTTGAAAAGTCGATATTCTTGTTTGTGTTACTTTGATTGTTGAGAAAAGAAATGTGTTTGTTTGCTCTTTGATGAGATTGAATCTTACCTCAGCAGCAAACCTTTCTCCATCAATTGCATGCTCTGAACCTGACATTGAATTGATTCCCCAATGAAGATGAAGCTGGTATAACTCCATGAGATGACCTTCAACTGCACTCCCTGTTACACTGTAAGTATACTGAGTCTTGAAATCCAATCTTACTGAAGGCAATTGAAAAAAAGAGAAGATGAAAAAGTTAATAATGAAAGAGACAGAAGACGAAAAAAGAGTTGAAACATAAAGGCAAAAGTAACCATGAATTGATGAAACATGAATCGAGCATCAAATATCAATGATATTACATGGAGTTGAACAAATGAAGTGAGCAAAATGAACGAAACTTGACGATAAAAGATTGAATTGAAATGTATAATAAAAGTTGATATTAAATTGAGGAAATGAAAGAGGAAAATGAAATTGAAAATCATTTTTGTTTCTCTAATCAATTTTGGCCAGGTAAAGTTTCCGGTAAAAAAGCTTAATGTAAACGTTGAATGTTTCAGCGCCCATTGTATGATTGGATCATGATAATTAGGGGAAAACATGGAGTTTCATGAAAATCTCTACACGCAATTATCGTTCCAGTGAAAAAGGTTTGCAAAGAAAAAGCAAAACTTTTCAAATTTATTCCATAAAATGCATTAGTGGAACTTGGAAATTAATAGAAGAAATTATCATTTCAATTGATAAATTGAATTTTCAAATTAATCGTATAAATTGGAAATTTTTATTCCATCAAATGTTTCATCAAGTTTATTGAATCTACTCCAATCCAACTTTGTTTTTCAATTTTCAATCGACTTCAAATTCATAACGATATTTAGAAATGATTATAGCAAACACTGAACCTGTGCCTATCAACTGAACAGCAAGAAACTAGTTTAAGAGAAAAAGGTCGATATTTGCCTCGTTTCTTCGTAACGACATTCACATCAGTTAGAATCCATGATTCGCTAAAAGACTTCGATATTTCACCTAATTCATCCTTCGCTTTCTAAATAAAATACTCATAAACGATACTTTAATGTTTACTTTCCATTTCATTCAACTAATAAATCTTCTAACTACAGGTACATGTGATTAGCAAAACACTTCGTGAAAGTGTTTTGTTTCCAATGTTTTACTGAACCAAATAAAACATTTATTTTTGACATTCGACCAAAATAAACAAAGACTTTCCAGGATTCAAAGTGGTTTAACTTTCTTCAGACCCAAATGTCTATCAATAAAGCTCAAAGCTATTTGGTTTCTTCATCTATTCTCATTTGTTTTTGTTATTCAATAGTTCAATACTCCCTAATAAACTTCAACTTTTTGTTGCTCATTAACTTGCTGACTCCTGAAGTGAGTTTATTTATGTTTGAAAAGTTTTCTTGAAAAATCGAGAGAAAATTTTGTTCATTTTATTTCGAGAAACATTTTAAACTCAACAAATTTTTACCAATGCTTCAGCATTGTTAATTGAGAAATACTGGTGTCAATTCATTTTACTCTAAATTCACCATAATCTTCATGATTTTATTCAAAAAGAAAATGAATTTATCAGAATTTGGAAAATGTTTTCCTCCTTTTGATTATGAAGAAGCCAACAAAAGTCAGTTTATTTATAGCATTTCTCTTTACATTGAATTATCGTTGATTAGACACACCCAAGACAAGTGTATCAAGGCTAATCTCAGATAGTCTGATTGAAAAGAGAACTCGATTTTTATCAAACTTTTCGTCTTCAACATGTTCGTTTCATGTTTTGTCTGCTAAAGATGCGATTTAACCAAACTCAATTGGCTCATTTATCAGCCTTTAGCTGAATCATTTCTGTCTCTATTTAATGGACAAAATGTTTTTCACTTGAAACTCGATTCAACTTTCACTGCTTAACATGGCTTATAATGTTGGAAAAAGTTTTCTCTACTTTTCCTTTTCTACTTATTTTTCGTAACGATATTCACATCATTTTACAAGTAAAGTTCCGTCTGAATCGAAGCAAGAGTTATTTCCATGGGATTACTCTCGATTATCTTCAAGGTTTTCCTTGCAAGTTCTGATAAAAGTATTCTTTCTTTCTCTTCTCTCACAGAATTTTGTTTCATCCATTTGTATTCCTATTTCATCATCAAGGTAATCACCCTGATGGTAGCTCACAGCAATACAAATATCATCTCTGATTAACATTACCATTTCTTTTTGTCTATCTTTTCACTTTTTTCTGCTATTCTCAGGTAATCATGATTACAATGAAAATATATTCATTGAGATCAGAAAAGGCAAAAGCCATTCTCAGTTGTCATAAATGTTCAACATTTCATGATTTATGAACATCATTTGAAAACACTTTTTTCTCCTTCTTTTTTCAGATTTGACATTATCGATCATCAGATAGTTTCAAGAGATACAGAAGAAAGAAGGAGAGAAAATTTCAATTGTCACCTGAATAAGTTGACGAATGGCCAACAAGAAAATCGTCGAAAATTGATACAATTGTTACCAACTTTGACTGTTATCAATTGTCAATAAGCATTTGAAAGAATCCATTTTTGCCTCTTCTCGAGTTATGCAAATATCTAAATTTGTAAACTGTCTATTATCAAGTCTCTAGTTCTTGGCCATCTTTACAATGCTTGAGATTGACTGTAAAATTATAAAATTTCAATCGAAAGATTTTTTTTTTCGTTTTCCATCATTTCTGCATAAAATGGTTAAAAGAAGCATTTAATGAAATCTTTTTACCAACTACAGCTAGACGTAAAATTACATTAAATATTCCAGTGTTAAAGTTTGAAAGAAAAGTGTATAAATTTTTTCTTCCCTTTCCCAACTCTGTCTGCTTTTATGTCTATTTAGTGTTGCTTTTTCATATTAAAAATAACTTTTCTTTGCTTTGCAATTAGGAAAAGGATATTTTAATAGGTAATTTACACTTCTTTTGGTTTGTTGTCTTTACCATTGTTGGCTATAAAAATCAGCAAAAAATGTGTAATCAAAAGTAATTAGCTGTTCATCAATCCTAAATGATTAGTCTAATGATCATTTTCACATTATTATTAATACTTACAATTATGTCCTGTTGAATGAACTGAACCCTGACCGGCTTCAAGTAAATTATCGTATGAATTGAAGTTAAGATGAAGCGATTCATCGATTGTGGCAAGAGAAGAGTCCAAGTTGATGGGAGACTGGCGATCATTGCCGCACTGGGATCCATTGAAAGTCAGCCACTCTTTTTGATCTGATCAACAAAGAAATTGATTGATGTGAAAAGAACTTGAAATGCCTGAATCGCTTCGAAATTAACCTTACCTGTATAAGTGAAATGGTCTGGCTTAGTGGCACGTTTAACAATTGTGTGACTTTCACCTTGGATAAGAAAGAAAAGGAAAAAAGTTTGAATATTTTTTCACTGTTGTTCATTTTTTCAACATTTATTGACTTTTCAGTATTAATCAAAGTGAGTGATTGAAATTGAATAATTTATCTGTTGGATTGGAAAAATATTGAAATGAATTGTTATTTATTGTTATACAGTCTATTTAACTTTAATCAGTTCAATGATTGGTTGGAATCCATTGAAATGTTTATCTTTATTTTTCGAAGGCAAAATTTTCCTTCGACTTTGATTCCAATTGATTGTGATTAATTTCATTTGCAATGGCAGCTAAAAGGTAAAAAAAATGAAATTCTCACTCAACAATAATCTGCTAGTTTACCAACAAATGGCTCATGAAATTTACTGGCTCATGTCTTGAGTAATTGCTAATCAAGCCATACTAAACAGTTTGATTAATGTTTCTCTCGTTTTGATTTATTTGGTAAACAAGTACTTTAATAGTTTGATGGTTCTTTCAGTGTTTTAAAAGTCACTTTTTTGCACCACAAATCGCTGATAATTGTTGAAGGTATCTAATTTCAGGGGAAAATGCATTACAAGATGAGCTTCTTTTGTAACACTATCATGAGCCTCTCATCATTGATTGAACTTTCCTGTTTTCCTGAGCTTTTAACAGCTCTTAACATGAAAACAAAAGCCAAAGAGTTTCATTAACCCATTGATGAACAATTGATTGATTGACTCATTAGCATATGTCAACAGTTTAATAAGGCATTGAACATGATTATCATCCTTTTCTTGTCATCATCATCAGAATATTGACTAAACAAAAAAAAAGTAAAAACTTTTTCATCTTTTTTCTCTCTTCCAGATTAGGATAAACTAATCTCTCATCAATCAACTAATTAACGGAATTGATGAATCATTTTCGCAACTTTTCTTAACTTTTCCCGAACTGCAAATAAAGTGAAACCAGAAATAGTTTCATTGTTGATTGGAAAGGAAATGAATCCACAAATGGAAACATTGAAGGAACAGTTGCATTATTGATTCATTTCTCAATGATGCTCATGATGAAATCGTAACTTGTTGGTTAACTGGGTAAAGATGCATCCTAATTGAGATAAATTGAACAATTTAATCTCATGATTGGTAATGAGGAAGGACAAAGGATGAAGATGCTAAGGAAGAAGGTTGAAAGATGAGGCAAAAAGACAAGTTCAAATAATAATGAAAATGAGCTGAAAGATGATAATGATTTGCGCATCTTTAGACTGAGAAAAACGTTAGACTAAATATAAAAGCTGAGAAGCAACAATGTTGGGCTCAATGCCATGGCCTTGTTTAACATTGAACAATCCGCTTTGTGAACACAAAAAGAAATGAACAGCAAAAAAATGTAAACACAAACAATTTTCAACATTCATCTGGATTAACCAAGAAGCCTTTTTGATAATTTAATGATGGATGATGATGCACATCTCGAGATTGTTGATAGATATTGAAAAATTATTCAATGATATTCAATTGTTGAATTTAGAATATCAATTTTTTCCAATTCTTTTTTTCTTCTTCTTTGCTTTACTTTTCTTTTTCCCAGAATCTCTCATTCACTTGACCTTTTTATTGTTGATTAAAATTGATTTAAACTGTTGACTGTTCAATATTATCTGATGATGATAAATGCCTTTTTACTCAACAATATTTCAATTCAATTTTGATTTCATTGGAATCAATCAAGATTAAAGTGTTGATTGAAAAGTCAATGATGATGATTCGATTAAATTTTCACTCTTCGAGAAAAGTTGTAAAATTGAATGAAATAAAATTGCGTTTAAACTTACCAAATTGTGAACCAATTTCACCGTTAATTGTACTAATCAAAGTTGGCAAAAGAAGTGTCGACAAAATTAGAAACATAATTGAAAATGTAAATCCTTCAATTGCTATGTAATCCAATGTTTAATGATGAATTAATTGAATTGAAAACACTTATGTTTAGTTGATCATTTGAGGGTAAAACAATTGAACATTAATAGTTTATTGGAATTGATTGGATAACTATTGAACAAGAAAAGGTGTTAATTTGTTGAATTACTTTTTCTTTTTCACTTTTCTGTTGACTTTAATAATAACATCATGTTGTATCATAATACTAGACAAGATAAGAAGTGAAAATTTTGTGTCAGATTTTTTCATCTCATCGTTTTAGCATCCTCTTAACCTCCTCCTCATCATCACAGTTTATACGTTTAAATACTCATGCACCATCTATTGGGATGGAAATGAAGTTACTCCCAGTTGACTGATTAACAGGATAAGTCTTTCATGTTGCATAGGTTAATAGTTAATTCTCAAGAAATGAAAATTGCGCAGAAGTTTATCAAAGTTTCTCAAACCTTTTTTGGCTTCATAGTCATGTCTTAATCATTGAACACATTACGAACTCTAAAAAATGCTGATGCCTTGACGAAATGTCTTAAATCGAAGGCTAGTTTTGTTGCAAAAGTGATAAGACCCCAGGATAAGCCAGCCTCTCGATCTTTTGAACTATAGCCTTTCAATTACGATAATGATTTCAGTTAAACAAAAGGATAGACTTGACTTCAGATTCATCCTCAACTTCAAGCTCTAGACTAGGTTCTCAAATTAATTGCTTGTAGGCTCGAGCTTAATCTCACAAATTTCAGATCCAAATTGAGTTCTGATGCCAAAAGTATTGCTAAAGAAAATGATTTACCAATTGTCAAACTTTTTGCAATCTATTTTTCCTCTCAGAATAGTTTGATAACATCATATTATTGGTTTTTTTTGTAAAAAGTTATTTTTTTATCTTTTATGTTGTAGGCTCATTTTGTTTAGTTCATTGCCGAAGAACGACGGTTATAAGAATAATATAAGGGTTTCTGTAAAAAAGCTTTGGAGCATGATGCATTGACTGTTATCGGTGTTAGTGCAAAAGTAAGTTTTGTCATGAAAAATGCTTCGTTCAATTGAGTTGTTGAACTTTTTCAATTGGATTAGTAGTGCTGTCATCTTGTGGCGTAATTTCAGATTGTCTCATATGCTATACATGAGTACAGTAACCTGCCAGATAATGGGACAGACTGAAAATAGCACATTTCCCTACTTTTCTTTATTTTCAGAGCTAAAGCTTAAAAAAATGTTGAACAATGAACGTTTGAAGCAATGAAATTATTAATCATCAAAATAATCGTATAATATATAATCGAATGTAACTTGTTTAGTTAAATCTTCAAAGGAACAACAAGTTATAGTTAAATTTGAGAGACTAGTGACAAGATCTTTGCACTCAATATCATCAACTTATAATTCATTCATATCTCGCTCGTAACCAAAAAGTTTACAACAATTAATAATTGTATCTATTGAGGAAGGCCAGTTTCGTCACATTTGTATATAAACTGGACTCGGTAATTTATTAAGTTTCTTGAAATCTCATTCAATCTCCAATTTGAAACAACAGCTTGGTCACACATTTTGCACAAGATAAAACTCCAAGCTTTATTTTAATCCTCTTTCTTAATCGTTAAAACAATTTCCATGAGCATTTCAAATCACTTTTTGCAATTATCTTTCCTTGTTCGATCATTCGAAGATTATTAGCAAATTTACATGTAAGATTCAAACATTAAGTGTTTAAATTGAGAAAGAGAAATGGTTTAAATTATTCTCCTCTTTCTTTATTCTGTCTATTCCCCTGTCTTATTTCTCATTCTTAACAATGGTCAGAAGGGCAAAACAAATACTTTGTTTTAACTAAAGGATTATTGAGGGGAGTTGAAATTAAGACTCCAAAGTGGTAACTTGAAAATGTCTGGAACTGGTGCTTGGTCAATTGGACCTCGTCCTTTATTTAATTATTAGTTTAACTAAATTTTAGTTAATTTAAATGGAAATTATTGTCCACAAATGGTTATTATTAATAAATGTTTTTAAATGGCCTTAAAATCTTACAAGTCGACAGGATGAATCCTGGGCGAGTGACCCACGGATCATCCAATCAATATTAATTAATATTGAAATTATTATTTCACCAATTCTGGTGGTGAAAATGAATGTAACTGGTACTTCGTCAATGGGACCTAGTACTCAGTTAATTGTTATTTTAACTAAATTTTAGTTAATTCAATGGAAAATATTGTCCATTCAATATAATGAATATTGAAATTATTATTTACCAATTCGGTAATGAAAATGAATTTAAATGGTGCTTCTCGTCAATTGGACGAAGTAATTAATTCAACCTAATTTTGGTTAGTTCAATGGAAAATATTGTCCACAAATATTATCATTATTATTATTATTATTATTTAATATTAAATTATTGGTCCACTGATCGTGGAAATGACCGGTGCCTCTGACCTAAAGTGGGGGGATGTAAGATTCAAACATTAAGTGTTTAAATTGAGAAAGAGAAATGGTTTAAATTATTCTCCTCTTTCTTTATTCTGTCTATTCCCCTGTCTTATTTCTCATTCTTAACAATGGTCAGAAGGGCAAAACAAATACTTTGTTTTAACTAAAGGATTATTGAGGGGAGTTGAAATTAAGACTCCAAAGTGGTAACTTGAAAATGTCTGGAACTGGTGCTTGGTCAATTGGACCTCGTCCTTTATTTAATTATTAGTTTAACTAAATTTTAGTTAATTTAAATGGAAATTATTGTCCACAAATGGTTATTATTAATAAATGTTTTTAAATGGCCTTAAAATCTTACATACATTTTTTGATTCTAAAAATAATTTCTTTTTATCAATACTTTCAAAATTTATATATTTTGTTTTAGATAACTCATACTTACACACACACTTACTCACACTTACACACACACTTAGAGATTGATTTATTCAAAAAATATTCCATCTACACAAAATCAACTTCACTATCTCCTGCATTTAAACTTTTTGTTTCTTTATTTCTGATTTTTACAAGTGAATTATGTTTATATTTATCATTTTTATATCTTAATGTTTTATTACTATAATTTATAATATAATCATTACTTGATGATGATTAAATAACACATAATATTTTTGCATTTTTTACATAATAAATTTAATTATTTAAAATTTCAGTGAAATTTATAGTAGATTTTACAGATCACTTTAATTTTCAGTTAAATTCGAAAAAATTGGCTGACTCAACATGTTCACACATGAGTTTTGCCGGTAAGTTTGAGTTTCAGATCTCTAACTCAAGCGGTTACAGAAAGCGGTCAATTTCTCTGAAAATCGAAGTGATCTGTTTTTGATCTGAACAGAAACTTTTCATTAAAAATAACTTCATTTTCTGGTTAATCAGCAAAAGTTACACCAGGAAAATGAGTTTCATTAAAAAATCTGGTTTTATTATTGAAATACAGGCGATCGAAGCTTCAAATTTGACCTCAATTTTATCGAGAACTGGCGACTCAAACAATTTTCAATAGCACTGATAGACTCAGTTTTTATACCCCTGCAAACACAATAAGTCCCAACTCTTAACGAGGAAGTCAAAGTTTTTGGACATTGTCCTTTTATATAAAAAAATTAAAATCTTATAATGAAACTTTGTAACACACTTACACACACATACTTACAATCATATGTTATACATAGTAAAAGTCGAAAAAAATTAACTTTAGAAAACAAAAAAATTGTCATAAATATAAAAAAACATTGATTTATTTAAAAATAACTTTAATATGTACTATACTCATACACACACACACTTACACACACACACACACTTACACACACACACTTACACAAACACACTTACTCACACACTCACACACACACTTACACACACACACTTACACACAAACACTTTACACACACACACACTTACACACACACACTTACACACGCGGACGTGACCCGCAGGCATTGTCTCACAGACAATTGACACAACAGACTTACACAACCGCACGGACACGCAGGACAATTAACACAGAGGCAGCTTAGTCAGACACACTTAGTCAGACACACTTACACACACAAAATTACACACACACTTACACACTCACGCTTACACACACACACTTACACACACACACTTACACACACACAGTTACACACACACACTTACACACACACACTTACACACACACACTTACTCACACACATCACATTAAAAGATTCACTAATATTAATATTATTAAAATCAGCATATGTGCTTAAAATATTATAGTCACAATTGAATATATAATAACATTGACAATTTCAATCATTCACACTCACACACACACTTACTCACACACACTTACTCACAAAATGTTATAGTCACAATTAAATATATAATAACATTGACAATTTCAATCATTCACACTTACACACACACACTTACTCACACACACTTACTCACACACACTTACTCACACACACTTACTCACACACACTTACTCACACACACTTACTCACACACACTTACACACACACACTTACACACACACACTTACACACACACACTTACACACACACACT